GCAACCATGACCTGGATGACCGAGAATCTCCATAGACACCTACCCTGTTTTCCCAAAAATAAGACCTCCCCGGATAATAACCCTAATTGGGCTTTTGGGCGCATGCGCTAAAATAAGTCATCCCCGAAAATATTGCAACACAGAAGCAGCCATGAGGTGACCACACTTGCCGCCTTGTGCGCCTCAAAAATAATAAGACCTCCCCGAAAATAAGGCCAAGCGCTTATTTTGTTGGTCAAAAGAAAATAAGACCCTGTCTTATTTTGGGGAACACACGGTACTCTGATCACGTGGCAAACTGCAAGCCCAGGGAGACTTAGGCCCACATCCCCCCCAGTTTTAATCTGATGCGTTGACCTTATAATGCTCTTTTAACACCCCGTTTCTTGACAGGTCCAGCTGAAAGCCTGTTTAAGGAATCCTATTACCAGCTGATGAAAACCGCCCTGAGGGAAGATGGGATTCTCTGTTGCCAAGGTGATTCCTGGCCCGAGTGCCCGGCCTGGTCCAGTTCCCCCTTCCTTGAGTTAAAACTGGGTTTTTTCCCCCTGCTGTTTTGCTTTAAGATTCCCCCTTAAAGAATCCCCAAGCAGTCTGAGCCCACCGGCTCCGCATTCTCCGCATGGTTAACCCAAGTCAGGTGCAAACGTTGAGTACAGGCAGCCCACGGTTTACAACGGTTCATTTAGCGACCATTCGAAGTTACCACCTCACTGGGGGGGAAAAATTGACTTCTAACCTTTTTTTTTTGCTTACAACCAGAGGGGGGTCCTATCTGTACGGCCGAAGAGGTAGTAACTCGGCTGGAAAGGTGCCCATACCGGTTCTATCCTGGCCCCGCCATCTTTATTTTCCGTTCTGCGCAGGCGCCAAACAATCTTCATTGAAAAAAATGTAATTCCCCCCCCCCTTTTTTTTAATGGTATGCGCATGCGCAGACCTTTTTAAGTGCAAAATATTTCAGGCAACTAACCGGTAGTAATGCCGGCAGGAACTCACCCCTCATGGTCAGGTGATCAAAATTCAGGCAACCGACTCGTATTTATGACAGTTGCAGCGCCTGGGGGGGCGATCTCCTTCTGACAAGCCAATTGAGATCCAGATTCACTTAACAACCAGGTTACTGACTTAACAACTGCAGTGATTCGCTTAACAACTGTGGCAGGAAAGTTCGTAAAATGAGGCCAAAATTCATTTAACAACTGTCTTGCTTAGCAACATAAATTTTGGCCTCAAATGTGGCCATAAGTTGAGGACTACTGTAGTTGCCTTAATTTGGCTTTGCAAATGTGGCTTTAAAAAAAATAATAATCTTGCTTTGCCAGTTGATTTATAGCTAGTCTCGATGTGCATAGTCAGGTCTTTGGTTTGGCTTAAGAGCCGGAGATAAGGGGCACAGTGGCTCAGAGGCTAAGATGCTGAGCTTGTCGATCAGAAAGGTCGGCGGTTCGAATCCCTGCTGCCGCGTAATGGAGTGAGCTCCCGTTAGTTGTCCCAGCTTCTGCCAACCTAGCAGTTGGAAAGCACGTTAAAAATGCAAGTAGAAAAATAGGAACCACATTTGGTGGGAAGGGAACAGCGTTCCGTGCGCCTTTGGGCGTTAAGTCATACCGGCCACATGACCACGGAGACGTCTTCGGACAGCGCTGGCTCTTCGGCTTTGAAACGGAGATGAGCACCGCCCCCTAGAATTGGGAATAGCTAGCACATATGTGCT